CTGACCTCAGTCCGGCTGGGATCTCTAGTACCCTGCTCATCTAATCTTTTACCCAGCTCATATTTCTAAAATTTCCCACATTTGTCATTGTTCAGGAAGCGTTCAGTGTATATACTAAGTGCAGAGGACCAGTTTACTCCTATAATAGATGAGATTTATGGAGGTTAAGTCATTTGTCCCAGGACCCACAGCTGGTTGGTCTCGGGGTTGAAGTTGAGGCCCCTGTGATAGCAAGGCTCATTGTATTTGCAATAAATAGTTCATCACACTGCCTGTAACTTTGAAACTGTACATTATCCCCATGGTAGGTGAGGAAACTGAAGCACAGAGAGAGATTATGACCTAACCCGAGCTTGTACAGCTAGTCTGACTCTATCTACAGTCATTTGTTTCCTGTCCTGCTAACTCCTAAGCCCAGTGACCCCAAAAGTGCTAGACAGATTCTGCTTTTCTGGTACCACACATCAGTTGTTAACATCATCACATTGGGAAGAGCAGGTGGGAAAAAAAAAAGAAAAAGGAGGGGAAGAGCCAGGAAAAGCTTTCTAATAGTAAATGCACACCTCCCCTGACCACCGCCTGAGTTACCACAACACCATCTTCTAGTGTACTTTGTACTTTCTCATTTATCCTGATAATTCCCACAACTAAACTGAGCTCCTGCAGGGAGCTTTATTTGCATTTATTTCTGTTTCCCCCACTGCATCCCCAGCTCCTGAGAACAGTCACTGGTAGCACATGGTAGACACTCAGCAGACATTTGTTACACTAACAAATGTGGGTCAAATTTTAGTGGAATCTGGGATACAGAGAAAGAAGGCTGAGTCTCGAAATGGTCCGCGTTTCGTACAAACCAAGAGTTACAACACAGCATTACAAAGTGCGATGATGAGGAGGGTTTCACACAGAAGCTGTGGTGGCAGAAGGGTTCCCCAGGGCCCATGACAACAAGGAGGCACTGTGGAGTTTCTTCTTCCCTGGAAGGAAGGGATGGAGGTTGGGCAGAGTGTACGACTGCACCTTCACCCACCCCCTGCCGCCCCTCCCCAGCTGTCCATGCTGTTCACAGAGGAGTGTGACAAGGTGCGGGACCTGATGCACGTGCACTCCTTCAGCTACGACTTCCACCTGCGCCTCGTGCACCAGCACGTGCTGGGCTCCCACCTGGTCCTGCGGCATGGCTACCACCTTACCACGTTTCTGCGGCACTTCCTGGCCCACTACCCTGACGGACCTCACTTCGGCCGCAATCACATTTACCAAGGTCGGTGCCCAAGGGCAAGGTGGTGAGTCCCAAAAAGAACAGGCCACCAGGTATCTCCAGGCCAGCACGGGTGGGGGCAGCTCCCAGGCAAGCAGTCCTCTTGTTAGCCGTTCTGCCACTCGTGCCTTGTCTCAGTGCTTCTTTCCTGTGACTGCCCCTGTCTTGAGTTCCTCACAGTCGGTTTCATATAGGGTTAGGACCTTACATCGTGTCCCTGCCCTCTGCTCTGAGCTGCTTCCATCCCATCTTGATAACCGCCCTGAGGAGCTTCCCAAGAAAGCTAAGCCACCCTGTCTGCCACTCAGAGCCTCAGGGACTCCCATCCCCACCCCGTACTTAGTACCTGCTGTCTACTTTACCTTGCCCTGCAGGGACACTGGAGCTCCCCACACCACTCATTGCTGCCCACCAGCTCTACAACTATGTGGCTGACCATGCCAGCTCGTACCACATGAAACCACTGCGTATGGCCCGCCCCGGGGGCCTGGAACACAATGAGTATGCTCTGGTGTCAGCGTGGCACAGGTGAGGCAGGGAAAGGCATCCAGCACACACACAGGTGGGGCTGAGGAGGGGGGTCACACTTGCAGTAGGGAGACCATGTATTTTCTTGGGCAGAAAGGGTGGGGTTGATTTCCTCAAAACCTCAGAACTGACTTTTCCCCAACCCCTGCCGCACAGCTGTGGTTCCTACCTGGACTCTGAGGGACTTCGTCACCAGGACGACTTTGATGTGTCTCTGCTTGTCTGTCACTGTGCTGCACCCTTTGAGGAGCAAGGGGAAGCCGAGCGGCACGTCCTGCGGTCAGCAGATTCTCCACCCTGACTCTACCCGTTTCCCAGCCCCCACCCTACCCCGCTCTCCCCCTGGGTGTCTGGTGCTGTGATCCCCACACTCCTGCTCCCCCCCACATCAGGCTGCAGTTCTTCGTGGTGCTCACTAGCCAACGAGAACTCTTCCCCAGGCTCACCGCTGACATGCGCAGGTTCCGGAAGCCCCCCAGACTGCCCCCCGAGCCAGAGGCTCCCGGGGGCTCAGCTGGCAGCTCTGGGGAGGCCTCCAGCCTTATGCCAGCCCCCGGACCAGCTCCCTTGTTCCCACCACTGGCAGCAGAGGTGGGCATGGCACGGGCACGGCTGGCTCAGCTGGTCCGGCTGGCTGGCGGGCACTGCCGTCGGGACACCCTCTGGAAGCGCCTCTTCTTGCTGGAGCCACCAGGGCCTGACCGACTAAGGCTAGGTGGGCGCCTGGCCCTGGCAGAGCTGGAGGAGCTCCTCGAGGCAGTCCATGCCAAATCCATTGGGGACATAGACCCCCAGCTGGTAAGGGACTGTGGGCTCCAGAATGGGCTGGGATGGGTGCCAGGATTCCACAGGTCTGGCACAGCAGATTCAGACCGTGGCCCTCTCCCAGGACTGCTTCCTGTCTATGACTGTTTCCTGGTACCAGAGCCTGATCAAGGTTCTCCTAAGCCGCTTTCCCCAGAGCTGCCGCCATTTCCAGAGCCCGGACTTGGGAACTCAGTACTTGGTAAGTCCCCCGAACCTCCTCTAAAAGGGAAAAAGCAGAATTCTTCATCAGAGAACAAACACTTTGGCTTGAGATCCTGGGGCGAGCTCTAGAACTGGCAACCCAGGAGCTCTTCACACTTCAGCAGTGGGTGATCTCAGAGGCTTGGAGTCCCAGAAGGGAGCTCTGGCTTTAACAACTGGTTATTCAAAGTGGCATTCGCAGACCAGCAGTATTACCCAGGAGCTTGCTAAGATGCAGACACTCAGGCCCTGCCCTACACTAACTAGAGATCTGCAGGTTAGCAATAGCCCCAGGTAACCTGTGTGCACGTTAAAGTTGGAAAACACAGCTGTAAGGACAGGCAGAAAAAGAGCTACAGAGGTGGGAGAGAATTAAAGAGAGTAACGAGATGGGCCTGTGAGAGCTGAGGTTCAGGAGAGGTGCTCAAGAGAAGACTGCAGATGAGAGGGTAGGCGTTGGAGCCTGGTAAGGGACCAGGCAGCACAGTGCTTGAGGGTTTCCAGTATGTAGAGGCTCATCCAGAGAACTGAGGTGCGTTACAACAAGGATGCGGTGATGCAGGCAGTTGAGGTGCTCCTGCGCTGTGGGAATGCTAGGAGTAGGTTTGGAGAAGAGTGGTGAGTTCAGCTTGGGACAGGTTGATCCTAAGGCCTGTGGGTACCTTGGCTGTCTGGATACATGAGTGTTGAGGACTGAAGGTCAGGAGAGAGCTCAGGCAGCAGCCATGTGAACGGGTACTGAAGCCTTGGCAGAATCCCAAAGCTAGAAATCAGGGGACATTTCAGGGAGCTCAGAGAGGGGCTGTGCCAAGGTTGGTTAACCTCCCTGTGTTGACTGGCATCAGTGCCTGGCTCAGGGCAGGCTGACGGACAAGCCAGCAGAAATGCAGACTGAGGCTGGATTTGGAGACACAGTCCTGAGTGACCTGGGTGTACAGGTGGGCTCAGGTGTGATGGTGGAAAGAGGCCTTTGCTTGTCCTCCCATGTCTACCAGCAGCCCTGCAGGAAGGTCTGTGCCCCCTCAGGTGAGGCAGACCTCTCACGCCGTCTCATTTGCTCTGTCACTGCAGGTGGTGCTGAATCAGAAATTCACTGACTGTTTTGTGCTAGTGTTTTTGGACTCCCACTTGGGAAAAACGGTAAGAATATGGACCTTTGTGTCAGCTTAGTGGGAGGCTATAACCCCTTCTCCACTTCGGAGCCTGCTGGGTCAGGGTGCCCGCTCTTCTTGAGCCCTGCTCCCCGTCCCCAGCCTTGGCCTCCTCTGACCATCGCACTCCACCATGTTCCAACAGTCTCTGACGGTGGTTTTCCGAGAGCCCTTCCCTGTACAGCCTCAGGATAGCGAGAGCCCGCCTGCACAGCTGGTCTCCACCTACCACCACTTGGAGTCCGTCATCAACACAGCTTGTTTCACCCTGTGGACCCGCCTTCTCTGAGGAAGTGAACCACTCAACGGCACTGTTTATTGAATCTTGGATCTGTAAGATTGTCCATTTGTGGCAGGACTGACCTGGGCCACAGTGAGCTTCACCACTGGGTGACACCAAAGGCTGTGTGACTGCCTGGGGATGTGCTGCCACAGCCTGACAAGGACAGCCCTGCCCAAACACCGACCAGCCCAGGACTCCAGAGGTTTGGATCAGCTTTGAGGTTTCCATCCCTGCTCAGGACCCTCACTCAGCCCTTCCACAAGGGAATGACTCCTTCCTATCTACCCGGTGGCACCCTGAGAGTTCTTCACACCTGGTGGCAGGCACTTAACCCTTAAGTGCTACCTGAATGCTGCCTTCCAGTCTTTGGTCAGTCAGCCGTGTGCCCCCTTAGCCTTTAATCTTCATTCCTACTTGGACAACACTGCTGGACATTCCCTTTGACATAAGAACCTTGGTCCCGATCCCAGCTCTGCCTTTGAAGCATGTGGGATCAGCGTCAAGCCCATTTACTCATGGACCCTTGCTTCCTCATCTCTGAAAGAGGAAGGCTCAAAAGTTCTCCCATCTCCACAGCAACCCTGGCACCAACCAGAAGACTGGAGCATGGACTGTGTGCCCCTTCTCAATGACAGGAAAGCAACCCAGAGACACCGAAGCATTAGAGGTGTGTGTCCTCCACTCCTACAACATACACACGTAAAAGTATTCTGCAAGGCATCTTTAATTCAGAGGAGGTGCAGATGCTCAGTGTCCCAGAGCAGCATGTGGTTGGTGTACAGGACCTCACTCTCCAGCCCATGGGCAGCCCCGCCTATCACAATATGAACGGAGCCAACTCAGCCCCTCTACGGTGTCTCCTGTGGGGAGAGGGAGGCAGTGGCATCTCACCTTGTAAGGAGGAAACAGCCCACCCCCGCCTAATGCCTTTCCCTCCAAAGCCGTTTCCCAGGGCCATGCCTGGAGCCTCACCTTGAGGCCGATACTCGCAGCCCACAAAGCCTTGGTAGCCTTCATCTTCCAGCAGCTGGAATAGGTAGGGGAAGCACAGCTCTCCAGGGCTGCCAGGCTCCCCTCGGCCTGGGACCTGTGCTATCTGCACATGCCCTGGGGACAGATGTGGGGAGACAGGGGCAAGGCTCCTGCTGAGGCCTGAAGGACAGTGGGGGCTTAAAGTGTAGGAGGAAGCACAGCAGACCAGCAAGCAAAAGGAAGGGAGCCCCCTCACCAACAATGGGCAAGAACTCCCGGATGTTTCCCGTCAGGTTCCCATCCATGATCTGCCAGTGGAATAGATCCTAGAGAAGGGAATACTGCAGTCAGACCCTCAGGTGCACCCCCTCACCCCATCTTCCCAATTTGAAGAAGGGCTGAGAAGTATCCCTTGGTTCCACTCACCATTTGTAATTGGAGGTTGGGTCTTCCAACTTTCTGTAAGATGGCTGCCGCTGGGGAGAAGCCACGGGGCCGTGAGACCAGGAGAGCACAAGAACCAAGAGGGACAGGAGGAGATGGGGCTGGGGTCTTACCCTGCTGGGGTGTGTCCAGGAAGTACCGGGGGTCAGTGACACGGGTGTTGATGGGCTCCAGCAGTCCCACGAGGTTCTCCTGGTACCATGTTGGGTGCTGTGAATAAAGCTCCTCCCCAGGTTTGTCCCTCATCACTGGTTTCTGCCCAGCCTTTTGCGTCATCTACTCTCCCCACTGTGTCACACACACAAGCATGTGCCCACCTCTCACCTGAGCTAAAACCCCAGCTGCATGCCTCAGGTTCTCCAAGAAAACTGTCTCCATCTCCCCGCTAACTGTTGCTCGATCAGCCCCCTGGGGTACTCGGCCAGCCATCAGGTGGATCCTGTAGGGAAAATGAGACTGGAGGCCACAGGCCCTCGGCTCACTGTGGGCACTGCTGCTCGGCAATTCCTGTGTCGGCCCAGGTACACAAAGTCACCCCGTCCTCCTGACTCAGGGGCCGCAGTTCATTACTCGGCCAGTCCTATGCTTTCCACCTGAACTGTTTTTTCCCTTGCCCCTCAGCCTAGAAGCATGCTTGAGTCCTGCATTTCATAAGGGTTTTAACCCTTTTCTTGGACATTCCGTGCTGCTTGCTTCTACTTTTCTCGTGTTTCTTAGCCTCTTCCTGTTTGCTGACCCTCCACTCACCACGCAAGTAAGGAGCCCCTTGTCAGTTCCTTCTCCAAATCTAAGTGACTTCTGCAGGGTTTGACATTTGCTCAGTCCTGCTTTGAAGCTTCCACCTCCGCCCCATCACTTGATCTCAGCCACATCCCAAGTTCAAGCACTGCCCAGGAATTCGGGTCCTCCCAATCCCAAAAGGGCACCTCTCCAGCCTCAGGAACTCTGCCTCTGCTCCCAGCACCCTTGCAGGTGCCCTCTACTCCGTTCGAGCAGCTCCCTGTGGCCGCTTTCTCCCACCCCACACCAACACTGGCCCTGCAGCTTTCTAGGCGCCAGCGGAGCACAGGCTGCGTTTAAGTCAGCGTGTCCCTGCTCAGACTGAGCTGCCGGCATTGGGTCAGCAAGAAAGCCTGGCAAACAAAACACAAAAGGCCATTTACAGGGGCGGTGGAGGGCAAGTTCCCTCAGGCTCCTGAGCCTCGGGTGGCTGGTGCCCTCTTCCCGACCTACAGTCGAGCGAGGTCACGGTCGGATACCTGGGGCAGCCTAGAGCCTTGGCGTACAGCACCGCCTTCTCCAGCCCCTCTCGGAACGCCGCCTGCCTCCCAGGCACGGCCCCCAGCCCCATCTCTCCCCTCTCTTGGTCTCCTGCGGAGAGAACGGGCCTCGTTACCGG